ATTTTAAGACAATGTTTATGTTTTCATGATGTATAATGTAGGGGAGAGTGGGGCAAGACGGGGTACTTAAGGTTTAAAGCGCAAAAAAACGAAAATTATCGAATATATACTTTATTATTATTTTTAATTATCATCTTTGGGAATCAGTCTTTCGTAAAAAAGGCGTACAAAGGCCATCTGTTTCTTAAAAAAGCTTATAATTAATAATATTAAAAAAATTGCAAATCTCCCCATCTTGCCCCACCGGCGGGCAAGATGGGATACCCTAAGGGGTAAGATGGGCTACTCAAGAAAGCAACCTATTTCTGTCGACAAATTTCACAAGTAAAGGTTGCATCTTCATCTTCGTGCATAAATGCAGTGAGCCCATTGGCCGCAGACAAAAAAAGCAGCCCAGCCTTCATTTGAGTCTAAATAATAACCATTACAATAGAGACAAGGTGTATTTTCCACTTTACCATCGCTAATTGATGATTTAACCTGACAAGCTTTTTTCTTTTTGGTCACTCTTATTTTATTCAGTCTTGATTTTAGTAGTTTTCTTAACTTCTCTTATTTCTCTTTTTTTTGCTTATAATTTGTGAACCCCGTCTTGCCCCACTCACCCCTACCCCATCTTGCCCGCACCTACGAAATTGAATAAAACGATTAATTACTACAATTTACGATTCAACAAAGAAAAAAAAACATATGCTTCCCTTCTTCTGTAACCCTTGACAGTTAGAAAAAAATTTATACAGTTCATTAACTGTTATTATTAAGTAATAAACACCTCCTAAAAAAAGTGAAAAAATGACAAGAAAATCGTCAAAAACAGTTTTTTTAGTAAAACAGATAAAAGATTTGTTCTCATGGCTTTTAGGTTTTGTAAACAAGAAACTCTCGTCTCGGTGCAGTATTATGTAAAATATAATCGCGATTGGTTAATTCGTTTGTTTAATAGGGCCGGTACCCCGTCTTGGCCCACTCTTCCCTATACGTGTGTGTTAATAGTTATATGAGTGTATGAAAACACCTGACTAACCTATTCGTTCTTTGACAAATTTTTTAAATATATATTTGTAAATCCTTTTTTATTCGATTATCGGAAGAGTGATAAATGAAACAATGTTACATTAGTTGTGCAACGTTTCGGTGTCTTGGTTTGACACCATCATCAGGCCACTTTATTAAACAATAAAAATTATTTTTTAAAATTAAAATTTTACAAATATAAGATTTTTACAAAAAAACTAAAATAAATTAAGTTAATACAAAAATTAATATCTACCTGGTCATTTCACAAAAATTATTTTAAAAAATGATTCAAAAATAATTTGTTATATTTGTTACATTTGTAACACGTCTCAAAAAACATAAAATACGTCAAGAAATTACAAGCGAACAGGTTAACATAAAACACGGACATCTCATACGAGTGACAAAACAAGACTAAAATCTGAAGGAGACAATTTTGCACGTCATATAAACAGCACGTGTGGAGTCAATGAACTCAAATCAAAATAATCGAGATAAGTTCACTCTTTCAGTTTTCTTAATAGAGGAAAATATGTATTGCTTAGAAATTGTATATATCTTCTTTCTTATTGATCGTGTTATCGTTAAACTTAATATATAACATTTCAGAAATTAATCGTTTTTTATAATTTGATTCCAAATCTACAATTTTAACTTCATCAAAATTGAAAGAATGATTGAGTGTAGTTTGATGTTCATTAACTACAGATTCAATTTTTTTGTTTTTATGTTCTTTGATTCTTTTTTCCAAACTACGTTTTGATTCACCGATGTAAGTGGCGGAACAATTATTACAGTTAAATTTGTAAACGATACCAGTTTGGTTCCATTTGTTGTTTGAATCCTTACCTAATTTAACAACTGAAGTTAAAGACTTATTAACCATTGGAATTGACAATAAATTATAATCTTTTGAAATCTTTGACAATTGTGAATAATTATTATTAAATGGAATGCAAATTTTTGGAATACGACTATAGATAAATGATTTATTATGATTTTGATTATTGTTCAATGTAGATTTTTGTTTAAACAATCTAATTTTTTTATGTTTATTGATAATGTCCAATGGATAATCATTCTTAAGTAGAATTTGGAACACCTTTTCGATATTACATTTGTGAAAAGATTCATGTGACAATAAGATAGCTCTATCCAACAAATTATAAACATTGTTCTAAATGTTATAAATAATAATAATTAACTTTTGCACATCACTTCTTTATTGCATTTTAGACTTTCGTACAAAGTTTCGGCTCAATTTATTAAATATTTAAAGAGAAAAGTGGTCGAAAAAATTACCATTGAGTATTTTTAATATATTCTTCGTATTTATCGATTCATCGAGATTCACTGCTATATCTTAAATTAACTTTTCCTAATAAAATTTCTCATATATTACTTTTATTATTTTCACTATTTATTTTCACTTATAACAATATTTCCGTTATAAGAACTTTTTTACTATGCACTTTGCCTAACGACTTATCTTGTCAGGTCTCCTTCACACGAAATTCAAAACAAGAGCTTCTCTATACTCAAACAATCGACATTTTAGTGGAGAAATCATTCTTATAATTTATTGCACTTGATCGTTGCCAGGCGCTTTTCTCCAAGCTTGCAGTTTGGGCCAGTTTGGGCAGTGGTGCCACGGAGAGAAGGGCGTAGTCAGATTAACTACTTGCGCAGTTAAATGTACTAAAAACAGAAAGTAGTCGATTTTGGACTGACTATAGACTGGTAGTAGGATTTACTAAACAGGCGTTTAGTCATTGTGACTACTCAAGAAAAAGTTAATTCAACTGCACAGAAAGTCAAACGGACTAAACTGTTTAGTAAAATGTAAAAATATTGAAATATTGTTTTCTACATTTAATTTTGAAATAATTTCAATAGTAATAGAAAGTCAACGTGAAATTTTTATATTTTAACAGAAAACAAAAATATAATTATCACAAAAATTTCGAGCAGTTAATTTGCATATTTTTAAGAGGTTATGTTGATTTTTTCTGTAATCACTACAGAAATTATTTTTCAAATTAAATATAGAAAACTACATTACTATTGGTAAACAAATGTTTGGCAATAATAGAAGCGTTTCGTTCAATTTCTAACCTCAAAATAAGCACTTCGTGAATATCGAAACTTACCTGCAAACATATTAGCGCAATTTTGAAAAAACAGTGTACTGCGCAGTGTTCTGTGAGTTTAACTAAGCATTCAGTGTCTTCGACAACACTGTTTAGTAAAATCGACTAAACGAAACTAAATGATATTTTTTAAATGTAACTAAATATTCAGTTATTATTAGTACATACTGACTTACTAAACGTGTTAAGTAGAATTAACTACAACTTTTCTCTCATGTGATCCTGGTTCATTAACCTGGACACCACAACCCATGTTTGACAATTAAATGTATCTGAAGCCTCATTCTTTTAATTAAAGTTAATAGATTTTTGCAATTTAAATTTATAAATATGTGAAAATTTATCAAACCGCAATAATTGAGAAATATATTGTATTTAACTTACTTTTAACTCTTTTTAACCGAGATTATAACGAATAGATGAGCTAAGTTTGTTTTGTATATATTATTAACATGGAAATTTGGGTTTTTTTAATATTTTTTTTAAACATTATATATTTATATTTTACTATCACGAAGGGATATTAGGTACGAAGTGGATCGTAACAATTAATAATTATTATAATTAAATTAATTAATTATTATTTATCATGTAACTAATATAATTATTATAATTGTTTAATTCATAGAATTTATTTACTTAATTATTTATAATTAAAAAACGGTTTAAACAAAAGACAAATACGTATATTAAAAAATCATCTAAAATTATTTTTTCTTTCAATTTCACTGAGAAAACCTTTTGTTTTATAGAAAAATAAATAGTTAAAAAATAATATTTTATTTTCTCAGTGTAAGTATATAAAAACTTTACTTACAAGTTGTAATGACAATTGTGTAGAATTGTAAATATTAATTATAAATAATTATAACATTAATTTTTTATATTAATAGTTTATTGAATATTAGTCAAATTTCATAATAATTAATTTTAAAAATTATAAATTTCTGTGGTTTAAAAATTTAAAAAAAACAACTTATAAAATTTTTATTGTTAAAACAAAATATTTCTCTCAGTTTACACAAAACATAGAATTTTTTCTTTTAAATCATTGAGAGAGAAAGTTTTGGTATGAAAGTTTGTCACAAAAATATATGGCCATTTATATTATCAATATAGAGTATATATATATATATACATATTTTAGTCAGCAAATCTAAAAATGAAAGCAGCAATCAAATTGAAAGCAAATTCACAAGCAAATTGTGCTTTCAAATGTATTTTGAAAAGTTACGAGAGTGCCAAGTCTGGTCACTTTATATCGGTTTCAAATTGGCCTTGGCCTCATCTCCTTCAAATTTATAAATGTCTCTAAAATTTCATTTGAATCGTCGATCGTAATTAGAACATTTCTTACAAATAGGGAATTTTTTCCGTCATTTGAATTTCATTAAATATTTTGTATTAAGAATAAAATCAAAAGGAAAAATACAAATTGAATTAAATTTAAAATCAGAAAAAACACTATGAATTAAATAAAAATCAAAAACGTACAAAATTTATAAAAATTGCAAATGATCAGAAATTGAGAGAAAAAAATGCAGATAAAATTTAAGTACAGTTCTTTATGGTTGTATAATTAAATACATAAAATGTTTTACTAAATTATTTTGCAAAAAGAATAAAAAAAATGTTTTTCTCTCATTTTGGATAGTGCAAAAAAGAAGAAAAAAAATTTATATTCATTGTTTTTTCTTGAGTTGAATTTTTCAACAAACGCACGAGGAAAAAGGAAATTTAATTTCAACTGTTATAAGACTAAAATGTCACGTTGGTCATGTTAATAAGAGCTAAAAAAGAAAAAATTTATTACAAAGATAATTATTCTTTCAGGGAGCTGGGTGCACAGCGTTACTCGTGGCAGTCGTTTCAAGAAAGCTAGAATTAACGAGGGCCGAGAAGCACGTTCATAATTTTATGATGGACACACAATTAACTAAAAGAGTAAGCACTACAATTTTCCTTTATTTAATCACAAAATGGTAATATTATATTTTTCAATCAATGATATGAATTCACGTCCTCTGTAGTTTTTATTAATTACTTCATTTATTCAAAATTATATAGACTAATAATTAGGCAAAACTAATTATATAAATTATATTGATTTTTTTTATTTATATGTAAGAAATATTTACCATAAGTAGTAGTAAAATTAAAATTAAGTGTAATTAAAATTTAATTATGTAAGAACTTGCGGTAGTATTTAAACGATGATTAAAATGTTGTCATTTGTTAATATTTTACAGTTAAAAAATGCAGCGGCAAACGTACTGAGAGAAACGTGGCTTATCTACAAACATACTCGTTTAGTAAAACGTGTTAATCCAAGTCGTGTGCGAACACACCAACGAAAATTTCTTTTAGCTATTTACTCGTAAGTAAAATTTAATTATTAATACAGTAGAACCTCGGTAAATCGAAGGAAATGTCCATTCCCTTTCCTAGAAGCTCAAAAATCTCTTAGAATTCTGGAACCTCCATAACTCGAAGTAATATTAATTTCTCCTGAAAAAAAATCTTAATACTGTATAATCAGTAGTAGAAAAAGTTTATTCAGACAAAGAAAATTATATTTTTGCAATTGTTTCTAACAGTAGCAAAAAAAGTTTCGCTTTGAAGAAATTTGTGGAATTCTTATATACTTCAAATTCGTAATTTCATTATCAACAGTGAAAGTTAATTTTAGTCAACCGAAAAATTTTTCGTATTTTATTTTCGGTAACAGTATATGAAACTTTAGTCAGACAAAAATTTTATTTCATGTTATACTTTTGATAGGTAAAAATTAGTTTTATGCCCGGTTCCACCATAATTCGTAGTTAAAGGTTTGATTAATTGACGGTCCGCTAAAGTTAAAGGCGCTGTTAAGTTGGCTTTAACCGCCTGTGCGTTCCACCAACATGTTATAAGCCATGGTTAACTAAACGTATACTATGTTCGTAATAACATTACTTTCTCTATTATGATTGGTCAATTCTTACGAAAAGTATGCGTTTTCTAGATAGAATTTTGACTGTTTCCCTTATCCCTTTTTAAAAAATTGAAACAGTTCAAAATAAAATTTGTTACTGGACCAAACTTCTGCGTCTATTATTTTTAAAAATTACTATAAAATTCTTTATAAATTCTATAAATTTTAATAGAATTTATAAAATTATTTTACAAACTTTTAAAATTACTTCTTTATCAAATTTCAATCATATTCAATTCAATTAATAATAACAAAATTGAAATATTTTAAAAACTTAAATTTTTAGAATTTTAAGTAAAAGTTTCCTAGACTTTTATTAAATAAATCACTTAATTTAAATTATTTTAAAATTTACTAATTAATAAAAATTGTAATTGTAACTCTTTGTACAAGTCAATTCAATTATTTATAAATTATTAAATAAAAATTCTTTGAAACTTTGGTTTTTTTAAAAATTTTTAATGAAGTTTTTTAACAAATTGTAATATTTTTAAGACAGTTTCACAAAATTTGCAAGTTTTTCAGAATTTTAAATAAAATTATTTAATACTTGAATAAGTTTTAAAATATTGAATCATCAAATTGGGGAGCTATCAATTTTGCTGTATACAGGAAAAGTGCACATGAAAAAACTGCACACATGAAAATTTAATAAATAAAATCATTAAATTAAATAACTGTACAAATTTAAACTGACCACGAGTTTCACTTTAAACTTAATTTTTGGTTTTTTGTCCTGATCAAAAAATCCAAAGAAATTAAAAATCCAATAAAAAATTTGAGTTATAAAAATTTAAAAGATTGTCTTGAATAAAATTGTCCTTTTTTGAGTTGCTCATTTTGATGACTGTGAACCGAAAGTAGATAATTTAATGATTTTATTTTTTAAATACAGTTTACTCGTATGCATTTTAACTTATGCAGTTTTCCTATATACATTTGAATTGTGGGAATTTAATACTGCCTCAACAAATTGTACTATTTTTATGAAAATTTCATAAAATCTCAATTCATTTTTTATTATTTTTTAATAAAATTATTTTAAAAATTCAAATCTTTTAACAATTGAATTAAAATTTACAATTTTATCAGAATTTTAAATAACATTATTTAAAACTTGTATTAATTTTAAGAAAATTTCAATTAATGTGTTTATTTTTTAATAAAATTTATTTTAAAAATTCAAGTATCTTTGAACAACAGATTTAAAATTTCTTTGAAATAAAATTTACTTGACTTTTCCCTTAATTTCTCTGACTTATGGTTCATAAAATTTATTTTTCTGGCAACAAGAATTACACTATCTATCACTTTTCAAAACACTTTTTAGGTTAGGGTACGTTAACCGACCTCTTGTGGCCGGTTAGAGTTAACCATGAAGGAGTATAAGGAGGAGTATGTATATGCATCTCTTTTGACTGTACTTAACTGCGTAAAATCGCCATGCACGCAAATTCGCATACCGGAAATTTGTTCACTGATATTAGCGCCCCTACAGGAGAGAATATATACCCTCCATGCTGTCCATGATAAAAGTTTTGTTTACGTAGTTTTTTGGTTATGTACCAAGTTGATAATAACAATAAAATAAAAGTAATATGTATTGTTTTATAAAAAATTGCATGTCAAGTTATAAAGCAAATAAAAATGCTTCTGAAAGAAGTGTTTTTTCAAAGCACCAAGAATGGTAAGTTTATTTAATATACTATTTTGTAAGGGTAAAAGTTTTTATACTTTTACCAACAGACATTTATGAATTTAATGCAAAGAATTTTTGGTTGTTCATTTGGAGTCCTTTCTATTTATATAACGTATAAAACAATTTAATTCTGTTGATTTATTTTACAATACAATACTCAGAGGATCCTCTAATCTTAAATATCAATCAGCTGTCAAAGATAAAAATACTTAAAATGTAAAATTGCACTTATTTCTCCCGTTTGGCGGCGCTGTTATCAGTGAACATGAGGCTATTACTTTTCGCGTGCCTGTCGATTTTACTGCAGAGAAGTACAGTCAATATCAGGCAATTTTCCCATTGGAGATATGTCTCCTTATACTCCTTCATGGAGTTAACATCGGTTAAATAATCGAGATAACGTTCCGTTAAAAGTTGGTGAAACGCAAGTAGAAATTTGACGGTCCGTTAATAATGTCTTAATCGAGGTTGGTGGAACCGGGCATTAGTCTGACTGAATTCTCAAATTTTTTTCATTTTAATAGTGTAGTCGAACATAATAAAATTTCAGTAAATTGTATAAATTCAATTTAAGTAGTGAAAGAATGATTTGTTCAGACAAAACTTCTTTATTTATTTCCACTTTTAAAAAAAGTAATGAAAATGTTATAGTTAAATAAAAGCAAAAGCAAAAGACAAATTTTAATAATATTAATAATAATTAATAATAATTACAAAATTATAAAAAAAGGTAAATTTAATTAATTTGAATTTCATATTAAGGGTTCATACCACTTTACACGCTTGAAAATGAAGCTATTTTCTAGAATTTTTTTTACGATTCCTATGGATTATATTAATCTGCATTTTTTTTAGTTCAATAAATACACTCTTTAACTTTATAAAAAACCTTATTTTATTTAAAAAATATTATTTGTTTATTTAAAATTTAACAATAATTTTAGACCTGCTAAAAATACCGATGCCAGCTGCGGGATTGATTTCTCAGGTTAGAAAAATCTAAAACACAAAATTCAAATTGATTCATCTTCAGTAGGACTGTGCCTATCGCCCGAACTAGAATTTTTAATTTTTATGCAAAAATAACAAAATGGCGGCAATTTAAATTTTTTTTTCGAAAATTAAAGTTTTTTTGGCAGTTTTTCGGTTTAAAAAAATTGTAAAAATTAATATTTTTAAATAATTCTAGTTCCGGCGATACCCACCCATGTGGCGAAGATTTTCGTAAAAAAAATTTGTGAATCGGTCCAGTAGTTTCCGAGAAAAACATCCCGCAGCATGAAAAATGTGGTTTTGAGAAAAACGCGTTTAAAGTTTGTGTTTTATACTTACATAGCCGTGTACGCGCTCAAATAGTATTGAAAAAATATATTTTGAGTGCTGGGATCTTTCTAAAAATCTTACACCACATTTTTGATATATTTTACTTTCGAAATCCATAATAAAAATTTTTTTGCTTTTTTGAAGATGACAAAGTGGATGAATTTTAATTTAAAAAAATATCAAAAGAAATTTTCAAAATTTTAAACAAACAAAAATACTTAAATAAAATAAATAAAATAAGTAAAATAAAACAGGAAAAATAAAAAAATGAATAAAATAAATAATATCAACTTTTATAAATAAAAAAGAAATGAAGTTGAAAAACTTTTCGAGAATAATGATAATTAATGATGAAGATATTGCTTTTAGTTGGTATGAGAAAAAAAGCCTTTTTATTTCTTAGCTATATGTAACTTTAAGAAGGCAAAAGTAATTTATTGATTCCAAGTGGTAACAATAAAGCTTTTTCAACTGAAACGTGTTAGTAATAAAGAGAGATAAAATCAGACTGCAGTACAATAAATTTTTGGTGTGGACACAAGGCACTGGAAAAGAAAAAGACACAAGAAATCCTTCTCTTCATTCACTTTTTTTTGCTGTCTGACCATTCGTAATTTATTTCACTGCATGACAATTAGTTTTAAACTTTTCACAATTTCTTTAATTATTATTATTTAATTACTTTAAATAAATTATTATTTGCATAATTATTTTATTCAAATTAATTTTGAAATCATTATATCATTCAAAATATAAAATATGTACCATTTATTTTTAATTATTATTTTATTTCACTATTTTAATCTATTTTAATCTTGGCAAAAATTGATTGAAGAATTGATTAAAGAATCTGACGATCAGTCAAAACAAAAGTTAGTCTAATGTCATAATTTTATAATTTAAAAGAAAAAGACAAATTAAATTTTAAATTCGTTTTGGTGGCAATGTGGAAAATTTAATTTTGAACATTTAATACGATTAAAAGTTGCATTTTATATTCCTTAAATCATTTATTATTGACAGAAAATTATAATTTTTATTCAAATATAACATTAAATTGTTCAAAATGTAGGAAATTAAATTCCTTACGCTTCTACCAAAAGGAATTTAAAATTTAATTTTACTTTTTCTTTTAAAATACGACATCATGACATTGGACTAACTTTTGTCCCGATTGTTTGTCGAATATTCTTCCTTAAAGTTGGAACTAATTTCGAATATTACTTATCAGTAGTAATGGTGAATTTTAGTCCGGCTATATTTTGATTTTAATTTTTCTTTTTTAGAAGAATTTTATAAGCCTTAAATTTTAATACAACAAGTAAGTGACATTTTAGATAAGACGTATTTATTATTAAATACTTTAGCAACAGTAGTAAAA